GCAGCGTGTTCGAGGGCGAGCTCGCCGATACCATCCCCGTGGTGCACGCGTCCATCGCCGGCTGCCGCATCATCGGGCGCATGTGTGTGGGTAAGGCATGTGCGGGACGCGTGGGGAGGGAGTGGCGTCTCCAAGCACAGTAGTTGTTAATCGTGTCCCTGGAGAGAATTCGGAGTGACCTAGGAGTTTCCAAGCCTTCATTCATTGTCTCCGTGGACGGTGGTGTCTCTCGGGGCTGAGTGGGACCCAGTCTAAATGTGAGGAGAGCAAGGACAAGCTCTATCAAAGATTTCTTGAGAATGATATATACAAATAATAGCCAAAACAAGTGGCAAAGTCAGCTTCAGTGTCGCACGTCTTTAACAACCTAGCTGCTTAGAATCCTGAGGCCTAAGGATGGCAAGATGGATCCCAGTCTGGGCACCTTAGTAAAACGCTGTCTAAAGGTAAAAGGGCAGGGTCGCTCAGTATTAGACGCTTCCCAAGTATATGAGAGCCCCTGGTTTATTCTCTAGTAGTACCGCAAAAATAAAAAAAAAAAAAGAATTAAGGTCTTTCACTCTTGCTCTTGTGAAGTAGGAATTAGTGTCTTAATGTGACAAATGAGGAAATAAGGTTAGAGAAACTAGATGACTCACCAAGTTCCACACCTAATGTGTAGAAGGATTTTAATTCCATCTCTTTTCTGCCACCAACTGTGAACAAATTCCTTCCTGGTTCTGAGCATCCATTTCTGCTTCTGGGAAATGACAGGCCCAGAGTCTGGGTTATCTTGTTCTACATTTAAATCCATAGTCCACTTTTCCATGGTTGTACTGGCATTTCTACAGTAATCTCTTAGAGCTGTCAGCTGTGCCCATTTCTCCTTTCTTTAAACTGGCTGTGTGTCCTGTTACTGCCACTTCTTGTTTCTTAGTTCTGTAGCTTAGGGTCACAGAAGTCTTTATTTTTTTACTTTTAATTTGAAAAATCTTAAACACTATGACCTCTGTTCTCTGATTCATTTCAAACACTTTGATCACACAATCAACGAAAAAACACTCTGATCTCTTACCATACCCATCAGATTTGAGCTAAATTCAAAGAACAAAGATGAATTTAACCTAGCCCTGTATTACAGAAAAACAATTCTGACATCCAGAGTTGTGACCTTAGAAGGATACAGAGAATTTTAGTCATAGTGTTTCATAATGTAATTAAATTTTGCTCCTCCTTGCTGCAGTAGAGTAGGTTTTGTGTGGATATTCCAGAGTGGACCCCACTCATTCCATTAGGCAGTTTGCTGTTGGTCTCTTAGTAATTATGCCACTGAATAAATATGAACATGTATATGTATTTATTTTGGATCTGTAATACTTATAATTAGATATTCTACATAGGCATTCTCTATAGTATAGAAGTTAGGCAGAGTCACAGTTTATGTGACTATTTGGTGTAGTAGGGAATGCTACATGATTATCTGAAGTGGTTAACCAGTTCACTCTATCAGTGTATAAGTTTCATTTGCTTCATATTTTTGACAGCATTTGGATTGACATTCAATCAAGTTTTAGCCACTCTTATAGGTATATAACATTAGCTACATACGGTTTTTTGTTTTTTTTTTTTTTTT